TAGGAAACCGTTGGGATCCCACCAGTTTGAGTTGGATGATCAAGTGGCGAGTAGGACATCAGGGAGGAGATCGGCTATATCCCTCACAGGGGGTTGCGGAAACTGCTATGCAAACAAGATGCGAGAGAGACGGCATCGGTGAGTCGATCTGGCGCATGAGGATCTGTCGAGGGCAGGTTCGATATACCCGGCTGCAGATCAGCTCGGTAAAGTGCCTTGATCAGACAAAGGTCTTGTCAATCTTGACGAGCAGCTTCCCGCCGGGCACCGCGTGACACGTCGAGTCCATAAGGCGGATCAATCGATAGCCTGGACGCAGGCGGTCTAGACGAATGCAAGCCCAAGCAAGAAGTGGCGAGCTGCCAATCTTGGAAGAGTCATCCTCGATCTTGAACCTAAAAAGCAGACGGCGTTAGCGTGATGCAAGCAAAAGGCCCTGTGCAGCTAACGTGCGTGTATATCTTCAACTGGGGCCAGCACAGCCTGTTGGGATGGCGTCCATGGCCCCGACGTGTTCAAGGAGCTATGGGAACAGATGTGGCATTGGGAAGAGGGGAAAAGCAGCAGCAACAACTTGGTCTCCGTAGACCTGGACCTGGACCGGTTCCCGTGTTTCGAGCTAGGCCCGTCTCATTGAACAACACAGCTCGGATCCTCACTCAAGGGCACGAGGACCGGTATCCCCGCAGCGGCTTGTGTCTCTGACAACTCACTCCCCGAAGTTTCGGTCAAACGAAGGCGGGCTGTCACTTCTGCATGGTGGCTTGCGCTCCCGTAATGCAGGCTGCCCGGCCCTGAGACCAACGGCGGTGTATCGACGGAATAGCCCGGAGGGGGAGAGGAGGGACGGCAGAAGAAACACAATGGACATGGTACAGCGCCGTGCAGCGGAAAAGAAAATTGGCAACTCACCTGACAAAACTGAGCTCCTCCACCACTTTCGGTGTATTGAGAAACTCGAGCGTCGAGCCGTTGGGGCCGAAGTCGGGATGGTCCGTCTTGCTGGTCCTCGTCCTGCCCTTGTAGTTGTACTCCTGCAACTGCCCATCTCGCTCATCATCGTCTGGCTTGTCGACGTGAAGTTCCACCTTGATGAGCGGGCGGATGGTGCTAGCGGAGCGGTTGTGATCCGCAGCGTCACCGGCCTGGACGGGGATGCGTTGGCCAGCAAAGACAGTGATCCTCAGGTTCATGGTGCGACCAGGAGTGGCCTCGCTCTGTGTCTCTGCGGACTTGTTGGAGCTCTGGTAGCCCTCAGGCTTCAGGACCCAACCCTTCTCATCAGCAAACATGCCCTCATTGAGCATCATGCCCTCGTCCAAATTCTGCCAGTTCATAGCCACCATCTGGACACCACCACGCCAGAAGCAACTTGGGTCTGGGTTGGAGCTATCAATCCTCCGTCCTGCAGGAAAGGCACGCATGAAGTAGCCCTTGTTATGGGTGAACATGTCACGATGTTGCTTCTGGTGAAGCTCGAGGATGCGGTTCTCACTAATGGAGAAGATATGAGGGGGGATCTTGGCCTCCTTAGTTGCGAGGCTCTTGTAATGCTGACTTCGCGTGTAGACTGCCAGGCTCCCGAGGCTCTCACAGATGGCCACCTTGGAGCTCTTGGGCTGTGGAGGAGCGCTGCTGCTTGAACTCAGGAGAGGGGCGCCCGATCCTTGGGATGTGGATACCCCCTCGTCGTCAGACCCCGAAGCATCTTCGTCGTTCGCGCAGATGGCAGGTAAGTCCATGGTGCTGGGCGGAACGACAATCCTTGCTGGGGCCTTTTTGACCTTGACGAGGATCTTGTTGCGTAATTCACTCAGCTTGGGAAGTTGAAACCTGGGGTCACAGCCTTCGAATGGCTTGTCCACAAGCATCTCTCCCCATTCCTCCTTCATGATGAGAACCATGAGCTCCTGCTGGTCCGGATCGGCGTGCACCTCAAGACTGACTATGATAGGCAGGTCATTGTCAACAAAAGCTACCTCAGCTACAGCCTTGCAAACCTCTCGAAAGCCACACGGGGTGGTAAGAGTCCATCCGTGCGTCACGATGGGCTCACTCTTTGGAAACGACTGGCGAGTTCGGGGCTTTGAAACATCGAGACGATCCCCAGACTCGCGGGTCTCCAACGGTAACTGCTGAGCGCTTGAGCGCGGGGAGGGTTCCGTCTCCCGTCGACTGCTGGCGCTGGCGCTACGGGACCGATTGCCTGACCAGTCTTCGATGGCCTCACGCACCGTCGTGGCGGCGTTGGGCAATGATTCACCTGACAGACCACGTTTGTGGTCCGTCTTAGGAGACCTAGATCTGCTCGTGGAAACAACAGCATCCCCATTCCACACATCGATTTCGATACAACGGCAACCCCGTAGAAGGACCTGCGGTATTCCCAGTCAGTAAACCTGCTCATATGGGGGATGAAGCGAGCGGAGATGTGCGGTATCCAACATACGTTTCTGTACGCTTCCGGGGAGCTTCTCGAAGCCAGTTGATTCCCGACCAGGTAGGTATTGTGACTGCTGTTGATGAAGTAGTTGGTGAGAGGCTTTGACAGATCCTTCTCTGGCAATGGTGCGATAGCCTCTGAAGACCATGTGTGCCATATATAGAGGAACTCGCCCAGAGTGTAGTTGTCCTTGTTCAGGTCCACCTTGGTCCCTCCTTGGACATTCTGTAGAAACTCGGCGAATTTGGTTCGGGTCAGCAGGGCGTCAGGGCCGCGCAAGTCGTTGAAGATACGCCCGAGGGCTTCGTGCATCCCGACGCTGAGGTGAAATTCGGGATGGGAGGCGGCGGGTTGGGCAGAACTCCTGCTGGAGCATTCGTCGGTCGCGGGTGCTTTCGGCTTGGGCTGCGTCTGCCAGACGTGTGCCTGACGTGGTGAGGCGACTGTGGTTATTCCCATGAGATTCGCAAGGTCGCCAAAGGAGTGGATGTTGTTGCCAAAGATTGACATGGTTGGCGTGCGCTGGGGCTTCTCGCGCCTGGACCGGCGGCGGCTCGGCTGCAAGAGGTTAGCGATTGACTCGAGTGAGCTGGACAGGCTGAGTGAGGTGAAAGACGAGCACATACAAAGAGCCCGCAGAAGCGCGACATGGTTGCGAGCTGTGGTATTCAAGATGGACTTGAAACCTTATGTTCAGCTGGCGATGTCGGGGCCGGACGAGCATCAGACGGCGGGGATCATTGGCGCAGATGGGTTCCCCGTCTGTCAACCAGTCATGGGAGGAGAAGGTGCACAATTGGCGATGATGTCTGGCGAGTTTGAATGAGTCTCGTCTTCAGACAGATGTGACGATGTTGAAGGGAAGGGATATCAAGAGAAGGGAGAATTAGGGCGAGCGAAAGGATCCATGATCAACAACCAGCCCAGCCCATGGATGTCAGCACGCCAGTGTGATAGGCGGTCCCGATTCGAGAGACACAAAGAAACGGACCCGGGAAAAAAGGAAGCGACCCAGACGGACGTGGCCGTAGCCTCGCCTGGGATCAAGAACCAACCCAACACGGCCAATGGCCCGCCACTAGCGCCCTGCACCCAGCACAGCCCTAGGATGGGTACAGAGGCCGAGGCCCTGTAGGGCCACCCGGGGATGGGGGATGGGAGGCTTGGTCCGCCAGGGAGAGGCCATGATTGGAGAGACATCTGCCAGGGGAGCGGAAGGGGTCTGCTCGTTTGCTGGAATGGTCCCCGTTTCACGGGGGGGCGATCATGGCGATGCCCTGTCGGTTATTGATGACTGCTTCTTTGTTGCGTGTTTGCTACATGAGGGAGCAGCAGCAGAGAGGAGAGCGGTCTGGTGGAATGGGGGCTGTGTCATGCTGTGTCTCTGTCTCGGGCTCCAGATAGGTAGGTACCCTTCTCAATGCCCCCATACTACATGTCGATTTATGTCTGACAACAATGGCCAAGTATAGCCCACGGTTGATAATGCCATAATACAGCATAGATAGATAACCTGGAGTTCGTGAAAGATTTTCTTTCATCCCAACGCCCAGATCAAAAACGGGCCCGAGTCCGCCTCTACTGGGCGACCAACTCGGCACGGGGCGAGTGGGGCAAGGCGGGGCGCAGCCGGCCGAGGCTCCGGAACAGCATTGGTGAGGTCATAGCTTGATCACCATCCAACATCAGCGTCACCTTTCATTGTTGAATGTGCAAACAGGCTGCTGACAAGTGACAAGATAGCACAGCCTTGTGGGCCAGAGCCTCGATCTTCTCAGACAACACACAAACATTCCATCCCAAATAGTCTTCAGGAACTGACTTCGCCCTGGACAAGTGTCGTACAACAAATCGGCTACTGATCATACGGTCCACCAGAACAAACAAGCGCCATCATGAGCTTCAGAAACGACTATGAAGAGCAGGTACGGGCATGGGGCTTTGATCGCGTCTTCACCTGGAGCGACTCCCCGTAAGTCTGTCTCTATGGATGCCCCGTCGTTCCGTGGAGTCCACGGGACTCTATCCCTTGGCATGGATTGAACTGCCGTCGCTGCAGGCATCGCATCGTCAAGGCCGACGCTCTAACATGTGGCTGCAGCAACACCCACTATCCGCCGCACTCGCATGCTGCGCTGACGACCCACTTGATCGTCGAAGGTGAATTGACTTTGTGGTACCCACGAGAGGAGAGTTCACAGAAGCAGACGTACGGGGTTGGCTCACGTATCGACGTGGAGGCTGGAAGAGTTCACGAAGTCATTTTTGGGAAGGCTGGCTGCACAATGGTGATTGGTGAATGAGGAAAGACATGTGAGTTCAGCTGGCGGGTTTGCAATCCCTTGTCCGGTTTGGGCCATAAGAGGATTTGTCGAAAGCAGTGAGACGTTTGCAGTGGTCAAATAGACAGTTCTGGTTGCCAAATTTGGTGTGGAAGACGCAAAAAATTAGCATGCGTGTACTGAGAAGCATACCCAACGGCTCGACTGCATGTCTCTCTTGCCCAAGGGTGCAAAAAAAAAAAGTGTGAACAATGATGGGTTCTAACCACCACGGCTGGACGAACAGGGAATCGAACCCTGGACCACTCCCAGATGTCGTGGAACGATCATGCTAAGGGAGTATTATACCACTAAACCATTCGCCCGGTTTTTGTTGTGTTGCGAGACGAAAACGCGGCATATTCGCGCGTGGCGTGGTGGTGGACCCTGACGATGTGGAACAGACACGGAGCGGAGGTTGGAGGCCAAGGTGGGCCGTGGCGCCAAGCGGTTCGACCGGTGCAGGGTAACTTTGATTAAGGCGACTGAATGACTGCATGTTCGTTGTGAGAAGGCCAGCTGAAGTACAATTGGGAATAATGTTGGATAAACAAAGCCGTCGTGGTGTGGTTGAAAGGAAGTAGCCGCAAGAAGGCGCGTCGTTCGTGCAACAGTCTTAGCCAAGTACGGACGCTGTAGCTGATTTCCATGTGAAGATGCGAACAACAATTCGTAAGCTCAGTCAGTACTGGGCTGAGGAGTTGACGAGTTCCTTGTCTCGGCGTCATGACCAACCATGGAGCTAAACTTTGTCATGTCTTGGCCAGCGAGAGCTCTTACATGATGATCCCGGAGAATTCGATGTGACGGACCTGCAAATCCCGATTCTGTACCGTGATGGAAGCCTTGTTCTGTGTTTCAGTCCGATATTGGTTTAACACTGGCCGGGAACAGCGACTCGAGATCCATGCCATGCCGAGGACCAGCATCACCGATCCCGGCAGAACATCCAAAGGGCTCCGGCTTCAGGGCGGTATCGAGTGCCACCCTGGCTGACAGGAAAACAGCCATTGTCGTAAATGCCATGATGGAAAGATGCCATGACCAAGCCCGCATCTCCAGCTCCGGCGCCTGAACCCTGTCGATGGGTCCATATCTCCGCTCGACTTGAACCTTGACAAGAGTTTCCCCACACTTGGAGTCTCATTTCGTGTAACGTCATCCAGCACATCGAAATCACGAGAGGTTGGGCCAATTGCTCTCATGGAGACTGCTTTTGGTGTTGATGAGGCCGCAGTAGGTGATCTGATTTGCCTTCGATAGCGGACGGCTGGTATCGCGTAGAGAATGATCAGCGTAGTCCAGAACCAAAAACTTCCGAGCCGTGGAGCCGAGATGGAAACCAACACCAGGCCGCGCGCATTAGTTGGCATTTTCAGTTCGGTCCCCGAAGTTGTCTCCTGCGCAGTTGTACCCTTCCCTCGCGGAGGCGGAAACATCGGGCGGTCTTGTGCTTGTGATAAGCGGTGCACCCAGATATGTGCATACGAGAAATTGTGCTTCAAAGGCACAGAGGCTGGCTGGACTTGTGTCGGCATGCTCGGCGACCAACATGGAAGGGAAGCCAACGGAGACGGCGAGGGCGTGGCTTAACACGTCGATAAACAATGTCATGTCAGAGTGCAATCATTGCAACGGTGAGCAGGTTTTTTCCGGAGTAGCAAGAAGCCTTCCAAGGCAAATGCAGAAGATTTTGACTGCCAACTCGCATCGCCATGGACAAGCGGGCGGTATCGGCTCTGGACTGGTTCGGTCTGGAGCTCCTCTGCTCGTATGTTGGCCCAGGTTAGGCCCATCTGAAACGCTCTGCTACATTGTTATAGTGGGTGCGCTGGTGGAGCATTTGTTGGACGTGAGAGATGACGGCATGGAGCGATCATGATGCATCCGTATCGTATCGGTCTACGGATACAACAGGTGGATTTCCGGTCCCGATCATACAGCATTCATCGTATCGACCAAGTGTGCTCGGACGGCTTGCGCGTTTCGTTTCCTTCTGACAGACAAGCTGCCATGCTCTGCGACGCTGTAAGCTCAGCCCAAGCTGCATTCACGGTGGGACAGCATCATGTCAGCCCGGGTGGATGGCCTCGATCAAGTCCGGATGCGGGAGATGCGAGAACGAGTCGACAGAGCAGAGAGGCCAGCGGAGCAACGCAACTGAACGAGACGAGGCTTCCGAGGTTGGGAGAGAAAGACCGGGATGGGCCCGCCAGCGGGAATACCCTGCAATAATAACAATAACAAAGGAGGAGCGCCGCCGCTGTGCCATGGCGGTGCGGCGCTGCCCGGAAAGCGATAGCTTGATGGAGGTGATGCGAGAAACCTGAGATGGCGATGAGCACGGGGGTGAAAGGCATAATTTCGCCTGTGATGATGATGATGCGTAAATCCAAAACCGGATTGAGTTGGGTCTGACATTCCATCGGGTGAGGTGCAAGTGGGAAGAAGAGCAGCGAGTGGTCCTGGCACGAGAGTGGAGGTTAGGTGAGGATCCAATGGATGGTTCGTCCACTGCTTCGAAACGCCCACTGGAGCTCCAGCTGGGCTGGAGTCCGCTGAGCCCGCTGCAAGCCGGCTGCTGCAGTGTGTTGCGTCTCAGAACTCTACCTAGGTAGGTATGGAGTGTAGCTGGAGGTTTAGTAGCTCTGGGAGCTCCGAATGGATGCCCGTCGATAGCTGAAGCTCCATATTGTGGTCAGTTGGAGTTTCCCTGATTCTTGTGTGTGAGCCCCTGGGACTGCGAAGCAACCTACCCCTTCCCGTCTAGCTCCTCCATGCCTCTGCAACCTTGGCGCCTCAGATGGCCATTTTCCGAGTCGTGGCGGGCGGCTGACGAAACGTGAAGCTTTGGTGCAATCGTATTGGGATCGGAAGCATCGAGCCTAGTCGAGGTACCTATCTGTTAGCTGCCTTAGCTCTCCCCCTCCCCTAGCTAGCTAGCTAGGTAGGTAGGTAGGTGGTAGGCAAGTGGGTTCCTCCTCACCTCACCTCCATCATATCATGATTGCGTTCAGATCCGCAGTGCAGCCCCCGGCTCAAAGCCAGCCATGCCGGACGGTTGAGAAACTCTGACTTCGTCTATTCCGGACTCAGATGGACGCGGACACGGACACACGTGCGATTGCCTCGTCTCCTCCGAACTTCGCTCGTCTATGCTACACCATCCATACTACTACGTAGTATACTTCCTGCCTACGCGACAGAATCTTGGCCCGACAAGATACGGCGGCCTGCTCGGTTGTGGCTGGACTGGGTTTTTTCGATCCGTCCAGGATTTGGACATGATCCCCTGGTCTCACCCCTCACACTCACTCACACCTCACCACCAGGGTTCCTATGGACTCATGCTTGCCCGGAAGTTCCCCTCCTGCGACCTTGATCCGTCGCCAGAGGCTCATGGATCTTTAAACTCCGGCTCCACCTCCTCCAACCTCCTCTCCCAATCTCTCATATCTCCTCATCTTCTGCACCTTTGCTTGTGAGGCTCTTCCGTCGTTTCTTTGTTCTAACCCACAGCCTCAGCATCTCCCTGTCCCTCCCACTTTCGTTTATCCGGATTGATTGCTTGTCCTCTTCTTTGCAGGTTCCATCACGTCGCCTAGGGAGCGAAGCAGGACGCGAGAGAATACACGTTGTTTGACGGCATGGAGGCGTTTATGTGCCAGTGAACAGTCGTTTTACTCGTTGAGGGAGCCTCACACGCTCCCGCTCCGAGCCCTCTAGCCCTTTGCTGCTGCTCCTCCTCCAGTAAGGTAGCTCCCACGAGCTCAGGACCTGAGGCAGGCCAGCTCAATGGGCAATACCCAATCCGCCGAAGCCCCTCGCAGGCATCGGAAGCTATCCAAGCCACCAGTCTGCACCTATTCATCGGCAGCTGGTCTGTCATACACTGCTACTGCTGTGACACCCCATCATGAGCACTTCTCCAACTCGTATCTTGTCGGCTCGCTGCCGCCGCCTCCCAAAAAGGCATCCTCGACGAGAGTGGCGCCTGCTGGGATCGGTATAGCCGTGCCAGTCGACGACGTCCCAAGTCCCTTGTCGTCTCCGACGTGCAGAGATGCTCGACGAGATCCAATGCCGCGCAATGGCGTCCTACGATCACAGTCGGTCCAGTCAGAGCAGTCTCCGAGGATGCTAAGCTCGGTCAACCGCTCTAGAGCCAGTACCATTGCCCATGACGGAGCTCATCGCTCTCTGACGCGTGCCGAAAGGTTTGTGCAACCACGCCTGTTCGTATCCACGGATAAATAGAACTGATTCCCTGGAGTAGCATGCCAATGACTGCCCTGCGTGGCTCTGCCAGCTACGACACGAGAAGCCCCGAGGGCAGACAGCTACTCGGCGCCAAAAAGCTCCCAAGCGAACCCATCATCACATTCGAGAGCCGTTCTGAGCTCAGCCAGGATGTGACAGATGACACCAGCAACGGTACCCAATCTGCAGGCACGCCCATCAGCAGAACTAATTCGGACGTCTCCCTGTACATGCCAATGCGTCGGCGCTCGGTCATTCAGAAGCCAGGCGTAGCAACCAGAGCTCACCATTCCAACCACCCAATCTCGGCCAAGTCGAGCTTTCGAAACAGTCACCCACCGTCCCCCAGCCAGACGCGCCACAACTCAATTGAGTCGGATCTGGTACGGCGCATGTCCCTACCCTCAATCCCATCCAGGACACAATCTCCAGAGCGAGTCGCGACACCAACCGAGGCAGACTATCGACAGCTAGGTGGCATGAAATTTGGGTCCCTGCGTATCACAAACGGAGCGCCCGTGGCTACTCCTGTGCCTGAGGATGACGTCAAGGCCCAAGGGGTCTCTGAGTCGGCGTGGGTGTCTCCCCGCGAGGGCTACTTTGATGTGGTCGACCCTTCAACCTTGGCGAACCCCAACGTGGCCGAGCTCAGCGAGCCTGTCACGTCTGGGCAGCCCGTCACTGCGGCCCGGGGCTTTGTTGCCGAGCAATTGAGCGGCTCAGCAAAGTCCAGAACATGCGGCAGTGAGACGTCTGAGAAGGGGAATGCTGATTCATTCCCCGTTGCCGAGGTGCTGGATGTGAGGGAAGATCCAAATGCAAAGCCCAGCCCAGAAAAAATCCAACTGGAGCTCGAGAACAAGATGCTTAAAGGACTGACCAGAACTGACAGCGGCTTCATCCCAAGTCCATCGTCTGAGAGCACGAGCACCCGACCGGCCGCTTCCAAGGTCGACAGCGGTTATAGCTCCAATGTCTCTCTTAGATCACTACCTAGCTTGAGATCCGCTGCAACGGATAGAAGCACCATGACCTCCGACAGGATCGACTCTGATGTCACGGGCAC